CCAAAAAAACCCCAAAACCACGGTGGATTTTGTCTTAGTCACTTTCTTGTCACTGCAGCAAAAGGGCTGACATATACAGTTTTAAAGAGGAGGTTTGTCTTGGTTCGTGCTGCGGCTCACGTTGGCTGATGCCAAGAGAGAGACCTGGGGCAGGACAGCCATTCACCCCATGGCAGCCAGGAAGCAGAGGGAAGGGGAGCTGGGGGCAAGCCTGTGTCCTTCCTGGCCACAGCCCAGAGACCAGCCTCACCTCTTCCCAGCACATTCAAAGGATGAGCACACCGTGAGCACAGCACCCCAGGGCCAGTCGCTCTCCACACACAGGAAGCTGCTCACACCTGAGCTATAACTGCTGCACCTACCCAGGCATCCTCAGCACACTCAGTCTGTGTCCCAGGGGACCAACCTGCACATCCCCGGGGGCCTGACCAGGAGCCTGGGCGGCAGCCAGCACACACTCCTCTCTCAGCTGCGTGCCACTCTTCCTTCAGCTTTCTCAGGGAGAACCACAAAGTCAACACAGAAGTGTTTTAAAACAGAGTAGCCCAGCACTCAGTGGGCTGGGGCAGGAAGATTGCTGCAAGCTTGAGGCCAGCCTAAGCCACAAAGCAAGTTCAAGGCCAGCCTAAACTACATAGTGGAACCCTGTCTTAAAAAGACCAAAACAAGCAAACAAACAACAAAACAAACTGAAATCACTCACTGAAGGCCTAAATATACGCAGGTCACTGGAAGATGGAAATGTAAGCACCTGTATTCTCTCCACTCGAGCTCACCGTTGCTGGCATCTTGCTGACATCCTGCTAAGCTCTTTTCTGTGCACAGATATATTGTTAAGTACCTTCCGTAGCACTGATTATAGGAGCTGTGTGCAAAACATGATGAGTGTTTGATGTTTTTAATTATAGTAAAAGACACATGGCCATGAATCCCCTCAGAATACTTCCCCATGTGCTGGACACTCGTCCCATCACTGTTGTCACCTCTGAAGTAGTTCTGGAGTCCTCTTTCCTGAGTGTCTATATGAAGTATAATAAAAAATTATACTTTTTTATTATGCTGCTGCCGAGTGCTACCCAGCAGAAAGGCAGACTCATAAAAACAGAATGCTGTGTCCTTATCTTCCTTATTCATGGCGTCTGACCCCTGCCACTTCTGGGTCTTCCCTGAAGTCAAAATGACCCAGAAAGTTCAACTTAAAACATTGAGACAACTGAAGAGTACAACCGAAGACACTCAGGAAAGAGGACTCCAGGACTGCTTCAGAAAGTGGCCGGCATGATGGGCTGAGTGTGTTCCAAGTGAGGGAGGGGATTTTGAGGGCGGATTAATGGCACTGTGTCTATTATAATAAAATTTAAATATTCACCATATTTTTCAGTCACACCCATAAATTATTTTGCAGCATGCTTTTAGTACTTTCTTAGGAGGTCCTTTAGTGTATATAATTAATACTGTATTACCACAGAAAGAAATCATTTCTAAGTTTTTGATTTTTAAAAAGCTTTTTATTTTGGAATAATTACAGATTTACCAGCAATTGCAAAGATAGTATAGAGAATTTCCATAGAACCTCTTTACCCATTTCCCCCTGAAGTTACATTTTATGTGTTTTGTATCATATCAAAATCAGAAGTCTGACACTGATAGAAAGTTTGTCCGTGGTTGCCATTTCATCACATGTGTAGATGCTCATAGGAAGCAAGATGCAGAAAGAAGAGTCCATCCCCACAGAGAGACATCCTTCCCGCCACCCCTCAGATGTCTGACCTGCTACGAAGCCCTCCTAGCCCCAACAACCATGGATAGAAGCTCCATCTCTATAGCCTTTCCTTGTCGAGAATGTCATGAGATAGAACCAACAACGTGTGATCTTCTGAGACTTTTTCACCTGGCACAACTGTCTATAACAGCTGTTTGCTTCTTTTTATTGCTGAGCGGTCTTCAATGGTACTGAATATATCGTAGCTTGTTTATTCCCTTCTTGACAAACATTTTGTGTTTACAGGTTTTGGCAATCACAAATAAAGACGTTATGACCAATTTCATAAAAGTTTCCATGTGGACAGGAGTTTGCATTCATTTGGGATAAATGCCCGGGGCTGTAACTGGTGAGTCGTGATAAGTGTATGTTTCATTTTTTAAAAGACATTACCGAAGTATTCCCAACAGCAATGTGTGACAGATCCAGTCAAGATTTGGTTTTGGAACATCCACTTTACAAAAATACCCTTTAGCTGTTGTATGGGTGTGTGGTGATATTCCATCACGGTTTTCATTCAAATTTCCATCATGGCTAGTGACCTTGAATGTTGTCGTGTGCTTATTTGCTGTGCACATATCCACGTGAATAAAATATCTATTTGTCTTTTGCTCATTTTCATCCTTACAGCCCAGGATGTAGGTAACCTTTATACATGCATACTGCAGGTACTTTAAAAGAACAGGTACTCTGTTGCTAGGTGGAGGTCCTGTCAATATCAGAGAGATGAGACTTGCAGGAGACAATTTGAGCGGCTCCCCTTGAATGCAGAACAATTGCTGCAACATTAGTTAAATCCAGCCTTATTCCATATACTGATGTGTACAAAGTGGCTGTGCTGGTCCCTTCTCCCTTCAGTTGGCTCTAAGTGTGTAAATAGGCACTGGTATGTAGTTCTGGAGGCCAACCTGACAGTTTCCTGTTTCCTGGCACAGTGCTCTCTGTAAAAGACTGAAGCTCAGCGGGATGGCAGAGCCAGTCAGCTCCAGGAATGTTGGCTGGATACAGCCTCAAAATAAGAGGCTGTGAATACTTAGGGCACAAAAGTTGTCATATCAGAAACTGAAGCAACAGCCTCCAAAATTCATTCGTATGCTACCCCAGTCTAGTTATGCAGACTGGTCTTTCTGTTTATCTCCATGCATATTATAGAGATGCTTTTCTCTCTACCTGGATAGCTGGCTTAAGTTATTCATGTGGTTCCCGCCATCTTCCCTGTCACTCATCCCTGAGCCACCCCCTTCTTCACAAGATGATAAATTCTGGGAGACACTTGGATCAAGGCCTTTGTCCTCACATCTCACTTGGGTTGCCCTTGGCTGCAAAAAGTCAGGTATCTAAAATCCATGAATCAAGAAATGGAGGCAAATGTGTGTTCTGTAGTAAATTCCGGTAGCCACTGGTGTCTTTACTGTAGCTGTGGGTTGCGTTGGAAGAGGTAGATTGAAATTGCTGGGATTCTAATGTTTCAATGAGATGACAAATACAACTGTCCAAGTTGTGAGGAAGATTAAAAAGGGATTACAATGTTCAGTATTTGGATTGCAAAAGAGAGTGGTGTTGACATTGGGTGGAACTTTACCATAAGCTTGCTGACCTCTGCCTAGTTGTTTGAAGTCTGCAGCTACCCTTGCAGGTTCACTTCTACTGTTCTCAGTATTTGACTGGTTTATCCGCACACAGGATAAATCCACACACAGGATTACTTTTCTTTTCTTTTCTTTCCAAGACAGGGTTTCACTATGCAGTTTCAGGCTGGCCTCGAACTCACAGCAGTCCTGCCTCAGCCTCCTGAGCACAGAGACTACATGTGTGTGCTACCACACCCACCTTAGGGTTACTCTTTTTGGTGAGTCAACATTTTTATTATGACCTTGTTATCATTCCTGGGAATTTTTTCTTGCAGGTGGTTCAACTTGATCTGAAATTAGCCTTCTAATTTTTATCATTATTTAAAAATTGTCTGCCTTTGTACTAGACACAATTACTAGAAATTCTTGGTTATAGGCTTTTAACTCCAAGTATTTAAAGACTTTTGACTATTGACAGATTGCCCTGCATAAATTTACACCTCAAGGCTTGACCATTACCAGCTTATCATACTTATGTTAATGACAGACCTGGTCAGCAATTCTGTATGACTTATGTCCTTATGCATCCTAGCAAAGGCAAGCAATCTAAAATCTGTGAATCAAGAAATGGAGGCAAATGTGTGTTCTGAGGCTCTGCAGTAAATTCCAGTAGCCACAGTCCTAGGAACTGGGAGTGGTGTGCCAGCTGGATGTGCTAGGATGGGACAGGCAACTGAACCCAAGTAGCAGAGAGCTGGGGCATCCACACCCCTGTAGCATGGTGTGTTTTAAAAGCAGCTGCCCTATGAACACAGCATGTTTATAGCAGCACAGTTCATAATCGCTAAATCTTGGAAACAGACTATTGATGTCCATCAACAGGTGAGTGGATAAAGAAAAAATGTGGTATTTACAGCAAAGGGGTACTGCTCTGCCACAAAGGATACGTTGCAGTCATTTGCAGGAAGACGGCTAATGCAACTGGAGACTGTAATGTTACTCAAAACAAATCAAACACATAAGTTTAAATATCGTATGATTTCTCTTATATGAGAAATCCAAGGCATAAATTAAAGAGCAAAATAAAAGAGAGATGATAAGAAACAAGGACCTAGATCTTTTATAAAGGGCAAGGGAGCCAGGTGTGGTGGTGCACACCTGTGATTCCTACATTCTGGAGGCTGAGACAGGAGGATTGCTGAGAGTTCCAGGACAGCCTGAACTACATGGCAAAACCCTGGCCAAAAAACCAAAACAACAAATGGAAAGGAGGGAGAAAGGAGATTGAAGGAGAAGTAAACATAATTAAAATGTGTTATGCACATGTACCAACTCCCCCACGATGAGCAACCAGTATGTACTACAAATATGTACTGATAAAAAATAAATGCAGGTCATGTATTACTTTTTTGGCTTTATAAATTGCATTTGGTTTATCAGCGGAACTTGAATTTTAATTTCTTACCGGGGCTCTCAAAGCTGTGTAATCCTAACAAAGTAATGCTGTTCAGGACACAAACACTAACTCCCAGACTGCACAGGTGGAGCCGGTTGGATGCCCTGGGATGTAGACTACAACTCCCAGCATTCCGCGCGCCCGGCCCCCGGGGCGGGCCGAGGCTGGCTCAGAGTCCCTGTCTGCGCACGCGCGAGCCCCTGTCTGCGCACGCGTGCATGTGGCTCCGGGCTCGCCACTGGCAGGCGCACGGGGGCACCTGCGAGTCTGCTGCTGCTGACGAGCTGGACAGCTTGGCGGGCTGCGCTCGCTGACGGGGCCTCCCGGGCTCGGGGCGGCGGCAGCGGGGCCGCGAGGTGAGAGGCTCCAGGTGAGGCGCGCACTGGAGGCGGCTTGGGCGGGGGCGGGCAGGTGGGGACCGGGGTCGGCGGCACAGTCAGACGCGCGACGGCGACAGGGACGGTGACAGCTGCGTATTGGCGGCGGGGCGGAATGAAGTGGGGTGAACCGCGGCCACCCGAGTTCCTTGCCAAAGCGGGACCCTGTGCGGGCCTCCGGCGGGAGCGGCGACCAGACCCTGCAGAGAGACTGGCTCTGCCCCCAGGTGTCCCCCGGGACAGGTGTGGCCGTCCGGTCCCGGCTCCGGTTACTGGCTGAATGTTCTGGAGCCGCGTACCCATCCTCTCTGAGCCTCAGTTCCTTTTTCTGTGAAACGAAGATGCAGGCATCTTTACCCCAGCGCTGTGAGGATGAAGCGCAACCGTGCTGAGCAAGCCATCAGCAGACGTCGTGCTTGCAACGCACGGGGTGTGTTAGAGCCTTGGCCTGACTTTCAGGAGTCCGCTGCCTCCTCGGTCCCCCCCCCCTCCCCCGGGACTTGGCGATCTCCCAGTTCCTCTCTTCCCATTTCATATGAGGAGTCTACGTTCCAACAGAGCCAGGAAAGAACACCGGCTTGTCCTCAGGGGAAGGTACAGGAGACTGGCCCCGTGTTGCCACGCCAGCGTCCTGGTGGCCTCAGTGTGCTGGGTTTGCAGCAGTTGAGTGTGTTCCTAAGCAGCCTTCTGGGTGGCTGGTTCTTGCAACGAGCCTTGCTTACAAGATAGCAATAAAAAGGCTTCGGGTGAACGTAGAGCTAACCAGAAAATTAAATTACCATGTGCCTGTTCCCCAAGGAATGGCATTAGTCTCTCTCACCACGGGGCTACTCTCCCCCAGGACCTGTTTGTCCTGTGATTCTCCAGGTTTTTTAAATTGGATGGAATAGAATGTGAAAGGAAGAATCCAGAGATGTCATTGCGGAGTTTGGAGTCCCAGTCCCACCACTTAATAACTGAGCTATTAATAGCCCTGAGCATAACTTACAGGAGAAATGTAATTAATGATAAATTGTGATTAATGATACTCGCTTTCTGTTTGTAGTGGGGAGTAAATGGTCAAGCAGATAAAGTGGTTAGCACTGTGCTCATCATAAAAGCAGGTAACTAACTGTTAATGGTTAGATTACTATGGTTAGAGATGCTATTATGAAGATGATTGTCAGGAGCAGTGCTTTGCTTGCTTTGCCTATTGGCACCCACAAACCCGAACCTCCTTGTGAAGTGGGTGTAATTGTGTCTGTGTCTCAGGGCAGGAAGCCTTCGGAGGGGTTAAGAGTTGGCCTGGTATTGTAGCTGTACCTGATGTTGAACCAGAGCTCTGTACTGAGTTTCCAGCTCCAGCACCTGTGCCATTTAATTCTCCGGTTCTGCTGCCTGTTGCCTTTCTCTTCTTGGACCCAGTAATGACCCAGGCAGCCTCTGGTATTGCAGAGGCTGGTTGTACATGCACACTTCCTGTGCATATGCTTGGGTGAGCTGTGACACCGGAGGAGGGTGTCCCTGGGTGGGTCTGAGAATGAGGTGTTTGGAAGAGGTAGCCCACTGTGCCAGAGACCTTCCTAGGCTCGCACTGCTGGACCGCTATCTGGGTGAGTGGCTGGAGGAGTGGGGGTTGTAAGGCTTGGGCATGAGCCAGGTGCCCTTGTTTAGCTGCTGAGAAAAGGGCCTGAAGAGCAGCCCTAGACAGACTAGAATGTCACCACCTTTGTTCCGCTGCCCATGAGATTTCACATTGCTCCCAAGACCTCTTCTATAAAATATTTGGAGAAAACCATTCTGAGGGCTCTTAGTTCTAAAAAGTGGCGATTTTCTAATTGTAAATTGATTACTTCATCTCAGCACAAGGCATCATGTCACCTCAGGTGGGCCAAGCAATGCCTACATCTCCCTGCTGGGCAGACAGTCCTCTCTGCCTGGCCGGGTGGGGAGTAATTACAGAAAGAAGCCTTTGGTTGCTGAGTTACCGGCCAGGACTTGTGCGTCTCTGTTCCCAGAGCCATCCACAGCTGTTGGCCCTGGCATAATGAACATTCGCTGCTTGAAGGTCTACCCCGCTTCCCTGTCACCAATTGTCCCTTCAAGTCTGAGGACAGATGAGCACAGTGCTTAAAAAAAACCCTGCGTCAGAAGCAGTCCAATCCTGAAGCTCCTGCTTGAGCTGTGAGACCTTAAGAGACTTTCCCCCCACTAAGCCCAGGTTTTCTATGTCAAAAGAAATAGGGTTGGGGTGCAGCTCCATGGTAGAGCTACAAGGAGGGAGTGAGGAAGGGAAGGTGGAAAATACTAGCACCTACACTGGAGCTTTTTATGAGGCTTAAATGACACAGGGCAGGAGCAGGGCTCAGGAGACCCTGGCACATAAAAGGTGCAAGGTGGGCTGAGATGGTGGCAACACTGACCCTCAACCCACCCAGAACTGACAACCTCTTTTTCTTAGTGAGCCTGGGCAGGCTTGATCTTTTTCCCCTCCTGGTTTCTCATGTCCTCACTGGTACCTGCCCAGGGCTTAGTGTCCATAAGAAAGGTATTTCACTGTGTCAGTGGTGACTACTATGGCTGCTGTGTTACGCTAAGAGGTTTTCTCTTTTCTCCCTTTTGCAGAATATAGCAGAAAGCAACCTTCTTTGCGGTGCAGTGAATAGGAAGCCCAGCCAAATATTGGGAAGGGGTTAGGGGCCTTGTCTGCTGTGTGGCCACTCTTCCCAGTATAAGTCCTTGTGTGGGGTCATCTCAGACCCAGTGATGAAATGTACCCCGGTCCTTCAGCTGTGAAGGTTGGTGGCAGGAGTCCTGCCCATCCTGAAAGGAGATCAGGAGTTGCCTCCTCCTGTGGTAAGGAACTGGAGAAGCGGCCCAGCGTTGCTCTGTTCCGGGGCTCCTTTTGCAGGACCTGCCTTCCCTCCCCTGGCCAGCAGGTATGGGCATCTTTGTCCCCCACTAGTGGCCACTTTAGATCAGGCCCCGCCCTACAGCCCAGAGACCTGGGCACATTTCCTGCTACTTGCACACCACAAGTAATGCCATTGGTAAGGGAGGGAGTGGGTTGGACACGTCTTCTAGTAGGCTTCGTATGTGGCTGCTTCTGTTTCCCTTGAACTTAGCAAAGGCTGGGGTCCAACCTGTTTCAGCCTTTGAGATGGAGTGGGTTATCTTCAGTTAAGTCGGGCCTTTACCCAAGCTGGACAGAAATACCTTGCTGAGTACTGCAAGATTATGTAGTGTTGAAACAGCTCACAAAGCCTTGGAACAGTTCCTCTTAAAATCACGCATGCGTGAGAATCAGGTGGAAGGACCTGGACCTTGCTTGCAGAGTCTGGTGCAGCAGGTCTGGCGTGGGTGGGGCTCAAGGGTCTGTATCAGTGGTGTCGTGGTGACCCAGAATCTGCCGGTCCTGCTTTGGAGGTGCCTGGGACTGGACCCTCTCCACTGATGCCCTGCACCCCAGTTCGATCTGGAGCGAGGCTGTTTCCCGGCAGGGCCTCCAGGCTCAGACAGCTCTGACCTTTAGAGAAGTCCTTCCCTGAGGATGGAAGGGAGCCAGGTAGGGAGTCCTGTGTGCCCATGGCCCATGCCCATGCCGGGGCCCAGCTGGCATGTGTCACTGTCAGCCCACGGGGCCCACACAGGTACAAAGGGCACGCCCTGAAGCAGCCTCACCTGTACCACCAAGTGAGCATGGCTTCCGTGAGCATGATGGGGCTTCTCATCTTGGGGATAAGAGTGTCCTGCATAGAATGGAGTTCTCAACCTTGTGGGTCCTGAGTCCCCAGCACCCCAGAATTAGTGCATCCCAAAGGGCAGGCAAGTGAGCTCATGCCCATAGATCCGTTTGGAGGAGGATGCTGGGAAAGAGCTGCCCCTGGCTTATAAGTTATCAAGATCATAGAAGTCAAGGAACTGTCCTGGGTTGAACTTCAGAGGGACGGGGTACATAGAGCCCACACCTTGTCCTGGATCAGGCTGTGGACTGCAGGATAGAGACCGCAGACTTGTGACAGTATCATGTCAGTGTGAACTTCCTGCATTTGTGTTGTGTAAGAGAATCTTCTTGTTCTTCAAAAAGTGCACACTGAAATAGTAAATATTAAGTCCTGCAGGGATAAGATGTCCCCAACGTATTTTTATTGTGTTTTTGTTTTTGTTTTTGCTTTTTTGGAGACAGGGTTTCCCTGTGTAGCCCAGGTTGGCTTTGAATTCACAGAGATCCTCATGCCTCAGCCTCCCAAGTGCTGGGATTACAGGTGTCCACTACCACACCTGATTCCAATTTATTTTTAAATGGCTTAGACAAAAGATTTTGTGTGAAGAGAATGATAAAACAGATGTATCAGGAAAGCAGTTGATGGATTGGGAAGAGTGTAGGAGAATTCGTTGTACCACACAGGCAACTTTTTTATGAGTTTCAGACTATTTCCAAATAAAAGGAAGCAAATCCTGCAGACGCTGGTGAGCCTGCGTGCTGAGGGTCCCTTGCTGCTCTGCGTGTAGGTGAGGGCAGTTTTCTGACCTCCAGGCTTTGGTTTTTGCCTCTGTACGATGAAGGCGCTCACAGGGAGGCAGAGATGCTCACCTCGTGACTGGCCTGTGGATGCAGCTGATGATAATGTCACCTTCATTAGGAGAGGGAAGAGTCCAGGGTGACACCATGGTGATGGGACTGTGGGAACGCCCACATAGAAGTGTCATCTTCTGCCACTTGCTGACATTGGGTTCCTGCCTCCCAGGACAGGGACAATGGTCACCCGGCCATGGAGGGCTCCCCCTGCAAAGGGCCATGCCGTGGTCCCCTGATCCCTGGGTTTTCGCTGGAGAAACCTGGGGCTCCTGGCAGATCTTACCCCGTGCCATCCCGGTCACTACCTGTGCCTGCCCCGAGGCTGCAGTGCCCAGTCTGCCTTTCTGCACACTGAACCTGGCCAGCACTGTCTAGGACGGCAGAGGACCCCAAGGCTTAGGACACACAGGAGGGCCAGTGTGGCCGTGCCTGCTG